TTAGTCACCATCAGCAAAAAAATAATGAAAAATCCACGAAATTTTTTAGCACTTCAAGCATCGGTTATCAAAACCGCGTTGCACGACCAATGTTACAAATAATACTCTTTTGCTCTTGAAATGAGGATATTTGTGATAAAACTTTGAAAATTTTGATTGGCCATTAAAACACTGGTTTTCAGCGATCCCGAAATTCGAATCGACTAATCCCGGGATATCCAGGAGTTAAAAAAGACCGGTGTCCATACTTAGTACAATATAAAAACTTACACATTTTTGACTTAATGCACTTTTAAAAAAGTGTGTCATATGTACGGACACAGACATACATCCTGTCAGCAACCAACATTGATGCTTTTAAACGTCACCATCCTACCCATCTCATTAAAACTGGCTTTTACGGTTAACTTCATATCCTTGCCTTGTGTCAGTTAATTCCATATAAACACAAAACCCATACAACAGAGACGCATACATATATACATATATGTAAATACATATATTTCTTTGCATGCATATGTGCATACATACTTACGTACATATGAGTATTTGTCCACGATTGTGCGTCTGTATGAAATCAAGCAGAATGAAAATGCATTCTGGTGCTTTGAATTAAATTATTCACACCAATTTGCTTCGTGGCCTGGAATGAATTGCATTTGAGGATGAAGAAATCACAGCTACAAGGATACTTTCTGCAGCAAAAATATGTATACTAATTTCAAATTGATATAATGCTAGCCAATTTGCATGCTGTGCTTTCCTTATTTTGTCACTTCCCGATTTAATTGCAAATTCGTCACTTTTGCTATTGTTTTGAAAAGAAAAATTATAGACCTCTCTGTTGTTAGACTTATTAAATTTTTGAGAGTTTTCAACGGGTGGAATTAAAAAAAAACACAATTTTCCTAAAAGTTTTTTTCTCCTTTTTGCCTTTTGCCTATTTTACTATTTCTCTTTGGTTTTAAGTGGGTCGTAGGACACCCAGATTTGTCCGATAATCGTATACGATCCTGTACGGTTCCACCTATGCTTGGCCTTTGGGTGATAAACTTCCTTTGATCTCCCTAAGCGAGGCCTCCATGTCCACCGGGTGCGACACATTCAGTGCTAGTTCGTTCGCTGCCTCGTTTCCGTTAATGTCCCTATGTCCGGGACCCATATCAGAGTAATTTTATATCGATCAAAAATATGGGCTAGCTCTCTCCTACAGTCATCAACTAGTTTAGATCTAACAGAAAAGATGTTCACATGCGCTCTTGCGGGTCCTTTCTCTTTTATGTACCTTACTTCCTCCTTAATTGCAAACGCAGGAATAACTTTAGCGTATATTGCTCAATGAAAACCCCTGCACAAATCCCACATTCCATTAACCCGTTGGTAAAGACAGTTAAGCCCTGCAAAAACTGAACCTTCCATTGAGTCTAGTCACTGCAGCTTGGGAATTTCGTGCGGGGTTTGTGGTAAACCCAGGTCTTCGTCCGGAAATAGTCAGTGGGCAGCGCTTTAACTTCAGGTGGTAATGCGTCTAGGATGCGTCTGATGGTGCTGTTAGCCACTTAGTTTTCTATAAAGATTTCTTTCTGTTATAAATTAAGAAGAACGTTCTAAACATCCTTCGGGCTGGATCTCAATGCAACTGTTAAGCCAGCTGTTTCTGACCTCTGAATTCCACTGTTGACCTACGTAATCCTTAGTAGGGGGTCCCGAGGACCTCGGTCAAAGTCTATCAGTAATGAGTCGTTGGAGGCTCAACTGGTAGAAGTGTACGACTTTCGAAAGTCTTCAAACTGGTACCTCGGAGAACAGATGCCCCCGGAGTTTGTTCGTCGGCGAGACGAGCAAGTCTAGTGACACAAGCAAGGCATGCAAGACGGGCAAGACAGGCACTGGAAAGACAAGCACGACTAGAAAAATGATGGAAAATGAAGGAACATGTTGAAAAACGGTGGAAAATGTGGTGTGCAAGTTGAGCAACTCGAGCCGTTGCGAAAGTTGAGCGAGTGGAGTCCCCTCTCCTGGTTAGAGGAGGGTGCTCAGGCGAGCAAGATGGTGCACACTTCAATGCATGTTGAAATGGAGATGAATGTGGAGTGAAGTAGTCGTGTAAGTCGTGGTGCGTGAGTCAAGCCAGCTCGCCGGCGAGCATTGCCCCGGTCTGTTCATGGGTACGGCCCCTTCGGGGAGTATCGTGGTGTCTATTGCTTTCCACCTAAATGCGGGTAGAACCAGCAATGGTTCAATGTGGAATTGTATTGCAATGGTAAATGTGTCCACCACACACTGCCATTGGGTACTGAAGTGCTTGCATTTTAGGACACTGAGCAAGGCACAAATTTATCCGGTGTGCGTAAGCGCCCCGTGGCGTTTATTCATTATGGAGAAGTAACGATAAATCTTAAACATGGCTGTAGCTCTGGAACTGGATGTGTTCAGCAAAGAGCTCCACTTATGCACAGCTCCGCATTCCTTTGTTTCCTCTGAAATAGCTTCAGTGATTTTGTCTTACTAAGAGTAGGCCACCATACTAGGGCTTCGTAGAGCAGAATCGGGCTAACAATGGCAGTATAGAGTTCCTTTCCTTATCTTTGGTAATAAGCCCCACGATACACCGATCTACTTTTTACATGTGAAGTGGGCTGTAGCGGCTTTTCTGATGCGTTATATTCTGTTGTTATTCCAGAGCAGTTTGCTGTTAAGAATTATTCCAAGTAACTTGGCAGCGACATCTATAAGATCACAAAAAGTTTGATGAAATTCTCCCTGTGTGATATCCGACAACCCCATATCCATCCGTATCCATCCGCAGTAGCAGTTGGTTCACTTTCACTACCCATAGGATCGCAGAGAGAACACCCCACTGTAGAGTGTCCTTCCTGTCAGACCTGCGAGTCGTCTGTCCCCACAATTCCGAGCTCACCACCCAACAGTCTGGCAACTCTCATCCAAAACGCTAACTAATTGATCAAGTTCCAACCGTCTTGCTGGTGTGCTAAGTGTCTCAGAAGGTAGACTTTGGCACAAAAAAAAATTGTCTTCGAGACAAGTTCATCGATGTATCATACTTTATCGACTATAAATGCCGAAGATGTTACAAAAAATTTAAAAAGACGACCCTTACGTGTAGCAAAAAAATGTGTTTCCTTTTTTTATCTGGTACAATCTAAATGTATGTGTGTATTGACGCATATCGCCACCAGCACCCGGAATATACATTTTTTTTATCATTTATTTATTTTTGATTCGTTGTTAACTTTTTTTCGTAATATCGCTTCTAAGTTAAGCGCGCTGTGAGCAAAAAATGCACTTAGCTTGATGTGCAACTTTACTCTTGAGTATCACAACTAATATACTTTTGAAAAAACGCACATGTGTACTATTTAAAATTTTTATAGGTATCTATGTACATTAGGGCGGAGTAACCTAATTTCGAAAAAAGTATGTAGCATATACTAATTCTACGTTCGAATCTAAGTAAAAATGGTGAATAAACTATAAACCAAAAATGACGTTTGACTGTCATAATTAAAAAAAAAAATCAGTGTATTATAATTTTTTCTAAACGAAATTAATTTTTCACTTACAAAATTTTGCGTTTTCTTCATAGTTAAGAAACTTCTTTATTTCGTACAATTTTTTTTTTTTTGGTGTTAAGCTTAGAATCCAGCTCTCAAGAAATATCCCAATAAATACTTATTTTACGTTATTTCTGTTGCGTGAAGGAGCACTTTGCTTATGCTGTAAATTTTCTTAAAGAAATAAAAATCTTTCTTCATAGCTGCAAACTGATTTAAGAAATTTTGATAGAAGTAAATTCCTTTCCATTTATTGTGCGTCATTTTATATGAATTTTTCGTTTCTCTGGCGAACTGGAAATATAAATTTCACTTCAGTTTTTGTATATAGTTTGTTCGCCATTTTTACTTAGAATTAATCGTAGAATTTGAATTTGCTATACGCTTTCTTTTGCTCCGAACAAATTATTCCGCCCTAATGTATATACTTATCTACATATGTATGAATATATGAAAGCATTTTGCTTACAAACATATCTATGTTTGACTGCATTTGTCATATGCCCATTTAAAAAGTTTTTTTCTCACTCATTGTCTTTGTTGTAGCTACAAGCGCATTGCTACTGAATTTACATACGAATGCTATATTCATACATACACATGTACATGCATGCATTCATATGCATACATACATATATGTTATGTATAAGCATGTCCACCCGCTGTGAAATGGAGAGGAAATCGCAAACAAAAACAAGCATTGCAATTGAAAACAACGCCACGGCTCTTCAACATTACCGACACCGCCACCACATTCATCAGTGCGCCACCCCCACCGCAAGGCGCAAGGCACAAGGACACACTTTGCAGAGATCTATAAAATTTAAGTTGTAGCGTCTGGCGTCGCATATTGTATGTATATACATACATACATATGTGTGTATGTGGTATTCCCGCAGCGTTCACTTTTACTGACTTTTCACTTTCCATTTCGAGGACAAGGAATTTTGCTAGATTTCCCTGTTAGTTGTTGTTTTCAAGCGCAACAAAAATCAGCTGTTTCGCCTTAAAGCGTGCTTTAGCTGGATTTACGCGCTTTAAAATTAAATTTTCTTCCAATTTAATTTTCTGGTATCCATATGCTATGTTTTATTTTAGGTTTTTTGTTTTTGTTTTTTTTTTTTTTTTGCTAAAAAAGCAATAGCAGTCGCTCTTCCGCTGTTTTATACATCAACCGTCACATTGACAAGCCCCTTTCATTTAGTTGTTTTTATTTATTTTTTGCTCAACCCTTCCGAATACACACACATTTTTATTCATTTAATTGGTTGCTTTCTGCTTTATTAGCTCTCTTTTTCGCTTCACTACTTTTCGTATGTACTAGTATGTAAATATGTATATTCACACACTTTTTTATTATGCCACTCATTTGCTTTAATTTGTGCTTATTTTTTGTTATTCTTCCGCTTTATCAATTGCTTTTACCTTCAATAATGCCGCGTGCTGTGACCAAATCTCTCTACAAATATTTTGCTGTATTTTTAATGTTTTTCACCTATTTCCCTTTTACTCTAATCCTTTTAAAGTTGTTCCTTTTTTGACTCTACTATTTATTAAGAAATAGTATTTAGTTTCCTTTTTTCGCTAACGCTTTGTTTTTCAACATGTAGCCTATGGAGCACTGTGTACCGACCACCGTCTTTTATTTGTTTCGTCCGCGCTCGTATCCATATAAATTAGCACTGATTGCGCTGTAATCAATTTTGGTTTGGAAAATTTTGCTTTTTCTCATGAAAGAGAGAGCGAGAAAAAGCGCACTGATACTTGTCGCTCTCAGTAAAGCTTTGGCACCTGTGATAACTTTCTTATCTACTTATCTGACAGCAAGGGTTGCCAAATAGCAAACAAATTAAATGCTTGCGAATGACCATGAGTTGTGGAAAGTACAATACATAATTTTATAATTTTTAGTATATTAAAATATTTCTACGTACTTCTAGGTTTGGTTAGGTTAGGCTTGAATGGTGGCGGAAGAACTTTTACGCCAAAGTAGTACGTAAATGGGCTTTATCAACATATCTCCCGTCCTCTCAAAACTCTATAGAGCTTCGCTCTTGCTGGGTTACATCCCCAGCAGATGGTCTGAGGTTAAGGTCGTGTTTCTACCCAAAATGGGTAAACCGGAACGAGTACCGTCATCTTACCGACCAATTAGCATCAGTTCCTTTATCCTAAAAGGGTACGAAGAAAATACTGGATCAGTATATCAGAGAAGTCAGCCTAAGGAAACGGCCTCTGAACAATAACCAGTTTTCCTATCAACCAGGCAGATGCACGGAGACTGCTATTCATAGCCTCTTTTCGAAATTTGAGAAAGCTGTGGGGTCGAAAAATATACCAGGGGCTTTTGATAACACTGGGTAATAGACGGGACACTGCTCCCTTCGCTATCACCTCAGTGAAATTAAGAGGGCTGTGAGTTATCATGCCAACAAAAGTATAACAATCTTTGTAGTCTTATCCCAAAACCCGCACTCTTACAGGGCAATTCTGGCTAAAAAAGTAAAAAGCCTTTCGTAATACAAATGAAAGACAGATGTCGAGATAGTTCGAAGACTTTTCTTATTCTAGCACAAAAGTCTTAGAACAAAAGCCCACTCATTTACCACTGTGGTGAAAAGCTGAAGGAAAGCACTTGTATAATTTTGTCCGCATCATTTCAGCAGTGGCAATGACCGAGTGAGTAATGCAGCGGGATCGAGCCTTCGGGCAGTACTGCAGCCGCTTCAACAGCTACCTGTTCAGACTCGACCCAAATATCCCCAAAGAGTATCCGGAATGTGTATTTGTTTTATTTAATTTATTTTTTGGATCTTATTTCATCTTTTTAAATTTAATTTTTTGTTCTTTTTCAATTTATTTATTTTTTTTTTTATTTTATTTAGCTTTTTTAAGACTGATTGCTAGACGGCGAGTAGCCTAACGATACGACCTACTCGTTAGCAGATCTTTCAATTAGTCTCTCGAAAGACAGTAAAGCGCTTGCAAGATAGTTGGCAGAATTGACAATTGTCTTGCGAAAGACAAGTCGTTCGAATGGACAGAAACACCTCAAATTTGAAAGTATACAACGCGGGTCGCTATGCTGGTAGCAGCAGAAAAAGAGGTAGGCCTTCTTTGCGATCTTACGACGAATTGGAGACTGCTTTGGCTTCACTTGCANTTTGCGATCTTACGACGAATTGGAGACTGCTTTGGCTTCACTTGCATTTCAACTGCTGTACTTTTTTGGACTGCTCCAGAATCGTTTAGGCGGTTGCAGCGCCATTCAAGAAGAAGAAGGAGAAGAAGTCTTATATCTTTGCTGCAGGCATCTAAAATTATTTAAAAATCGGCGATAGTGTTTCTCTACTAAAAAAAAAAAAAATTACGAGCAGGCAACTGAGCTACCAGTTGCTCTGTTGGTTTTTCTTAAATACACATACCTATTCTGACAATTAAAAGGTAGAGCCATAAATATATTCAAATTTTTGTTTTTGCTTTTTTTCTGCGAACGTTCGAAGACAAGTGCAAGCCATATTCGTCGCAGGTAATGTAGTATGTATATGGCAACTGAAATTACGTGATTTGTTTTGTAATCATTCATAAACCTCACACACACCTTTGTGTTAATTGATACCTGCTAAATATTTACTTTAAAAATTAAACAATAAACAAACTCACCCACAAAACGTTGGCAAATTAATAGCCTGCACTAGTCTGCACCTCCTCCTTCCAATGCAATGATGTGTTTTTTTTTTTCAATGCGTACGATTTTTTGCAAAGCTAATACTTACATACCCTACTATATTTCTATGTACTTATTTGTATAAAAGTACATACACAGATACTTAGATGGCAGTGTGTTTATCGTTTATGTAATATGTAGCAAGTGGGTAAATACGCTTTGTGTACACTTCCATGTCAATTCAACTAAGTAAATAAAAAATCATCAAGTGCCACCTGTAGGCAACTGGCTTTATGTAAATAAACCTCTCTGACCTCATACCCACTTCGTGTGGATTTGAAGGCAGACAATGAGAGAAACTAGAGCGAATCATTGCTTTCTCTTGCTGATGAAACTGTTGAGCACTAATTCTCATTCCAGCACATTTTATTTTATTTAGTAGATACTTTTTGCGTAGCTGCAAAGCTTTTACCAAAAGCTTTTTTTCTCAAACGTAATTTCTTCTCCATAGGACTGGAGCGGTTAAATTTGTTATGTGAAAGTAGCGGTACAATTATTGAATGAGGACTAATCGCAATAAATTTACAAACCAGATTTTTGGTCTTTGACATTCTTTAGAACAACAAACTTGAAAGAAAATTGCATGATCTGTGATTGAAACAAGTAATTTTTAGCAAAAAAAAAAACCGACTTAAAAAAAATATATATATATGTCTATATATTTCATGATCCAATGATCGGATCTAAACCAAATTAGTATGGGACCACCTTTGAGACACTACCTTTCCGTTGCAATTATTCAAATCGGTTGACGTGGTGCATATGCGGTAACATACATAAAAAAAAAAAAAAAATATTCCGACGAACTGATAACCTCGTCCTTTTTTGGAAGTCGGTTAAAAATAAGTACAGTGTTGCTCACTTCAAATCTGTACGCACTCAAACCATGCCTGTATGTTCGTACATTTTTGAATGCAGTTAATACATAAACAACACGTGACTAAAAATCGGCTTTTCAGTTGGAGATCGTTCGAAAAAATCACGACCACCTTATAAAAAAGTCAAGACAAGACCAACATCTCCTTGAATTACGAAATACTAATATAAACCAGTTCGTATTTAACAAATTTAAGATCCTAAAATGCGCCAGCTTCATTTAACCCATTCAGGACCAAGGGAAACATATTTCCTCAAAAGTTATTCCACTTATAAATAAGGAGAACGTGTCAGATTTTAGAAGAATTATATTTTTAGAATGTGCGTTAAGCAGAATTTACATGAGGCGGCTGTTAAGCGATTCAACATCGCCTGAACAGTTGAAAACGATTTTGATTTAGAAAATTCAAACACAATTTACACAGGCGATTTTGTTAAAAGCGATGTTGAATCGCGTGGAAAATCGCCTCATGTGAATGTTGCTTTATATTAAAAATTTTAGAGAAAAATGTTTTATATAAAAGTTGGAATGATATTTTTCAAAATTTCAAGGCTTTACAGAAAATAGCTTTATAAGATTTTTTGGGGAAAAAATAATTTTTATGGAAAAACATAGTTTAAGAAAAAACCATTAATTTTTAGAAAAAACCTCGAAGTAAAATAGAATTTACCAAACGTTAGAAAAAAGATTTTTAGATTGAAAATTGTTTTCCAATAAAAAGTATTTATTCCGGAAAATATTATTAAATTCAACAACTTTAATAATTTACACATGGTATTGTTGTTTTTCCATAAAATTTTTCACTAAATTTGTAAATTTGTAAATAAATTTGTTATAAGGCCATAAATAACAAAAAAAGGAAAATATTATTATTTTTTAATATTCCCAAAAATTATATACNAAGGCCATAAATAACAAAAAAAGGAAAATATTATTATTTTTTAATATTCCTAAAAATTATAAATTTTTTTTCCTCAAAACTCCCATTTTTCCTTTTTTGAGAGAAATTAATTTAAGATTTTTTTACGAAATTCCAAAATTGGTATACTTAAAAATAATATTTTAATTTTTATTCCCAAAAGTTATTTTTATTATAAAAAGCAATTTTTGACAAAAAAAATTTTTTTTTGGGGATAAATTAATTTAGAAAAAACTATCTATTGAGAAAATAATGTCTACCAGTTTTATAAAAAAATATACTCTTATATCTGAGAACAAAATATATATAATTGGGCAAAAAATTTTTTCTTTGTAGAAAAAACAATGTTTAAGAAAATGTTTTTTGGAAAAAAATAACCTTTAGAACTCAAATTTTTTTCTAGGAAAAAATTATGAGATGCATGAAATTTTTTAGAATAAAGAACTAAGAACAAACCGTTTCTAGTTGAAATCAAAGCAAATTTTTTTTAGCAAATTATTTTCTACAATGATTTTTTATGTAAGATATCAATTAATCACATTTTACAATTCAAATTATTAGTTTGTAATCACACGCTTATAGTCCTAAGAGGGTTAAAGTAATAAATTGCCAAATTTTTTAGTTATTTTGTAAGGAATAAGTAGATACATATGTTCGAAATATGACACAGTCAACTTCCAGTTTAATAGTTGAGTGATAATTAGGACCCCGTTCCCCCTGCGTCTTCTTAAAATTTAATTTTCAGAATGCCAAAAAAAATTTGTTTACCGATATTTTATTAGGTAATTTTTACTACTAACTGAAGATTTTCTAAAAATCATTTTCAATATCAGAAGTAGGTAATGTCCGATATTTAAATAAAAATGAAAATAAAATTTTTGATACCGTATTTCCTTAATGGAATTATTAATGTTTCGTATAAGGCATTCATCTATATTTTCTGATTATTTGTTATAAACATATTACGCCATTTATGCGCACAAATTTGAGGCAGAGACCGTAATGGCTATGATTTTTATAATAAAAAATCATAATTCAACCGGTAAAATTGGATTTTTTTTCGATATTTATAATTTTTATTTTTTCGATCATATTGTCAAATTTAATTTTTTAGACCATAAAATATTTAAATTGGTCATA